ATGTTTTTGGAAGCAGTGCATCTCTCCTATAATTTTAATTTGTTAACTCTGGGCAAGCTAAACATGAAGTAATTGTTATGGAACAGTTATCCTGCATGCCTGAGAGGGTGTTTAATTCTAACTCGACCGATCACAACCAACTGAATCACTGCACTCACTCACTGATCTGATAAGAGTCTATCAGTTAATAGGTTTGAAAATGATTTTTAATTCAAAAAATCTGACTACAAATGAATTTCTCTTTTGTCTTTTACTGAAAATTCGCACGCGAAGTTACGCTGATGAAATTTAGTCACGACGCCCTAGCCAAAAAAAAAACAGGAAAATTATTTCTTGTGAAAAAAATTATAGAGACTATAATTACGAAAGTAATGTTTGATCATTTTCAAAGTCAAAACTATTCATCTGTGTATATAATATTTATATCAGTACTGTATATTACGTATGAAATTTCGTTTGAAATCGAACAAAACAAAAAACAGTAAACAGACGTTCGCAACTTGATTTCTCAATTTTCAAACATTTCGAGTGCAAGTTTTAACTGTTATCCTTATGATTTTCATTTTTTCAAACATTTTTTTCTAGAGACATGAATTTCTCGTTTACTTTGCAAATTAAGATATAATTTTCGGTCTGAAATATCTTATATTTTAGCCTAACTGATCGACAAATCAGCAGGAGAATGTTGCACCTCGCTCTGCTCTGCATCTTTTCAAGCCTGGTTCCAGTTAGTAGTGTTGCAGTCACACAAAAATTTTATTAAAACCACCAAAACTGGTATAGATTTTTATGATTTGTATTCGGACGTTACACTTATACACGGGCAATTTGTAATTAATTTACATGTAAAGAGTTGTGCATTTACAAATTTGTCACAAATTTCAGAAAGTTGATGATGTTTTTGTTCAAAACATTTTTGTTCAACACACTACATTTTTAAAAATCCTGTGTCAAACTTCTTAAAATAATACTTATAAAACTTGTTTGAGCAGCGAGATTGTGCTCTAGATAAAGCTGTCTTGTTCAGGCTTGCAAGAGCCCGGTTTGAATTCAAAGACATTCCAGTTCATAACGCGCAATAATGTATGATGCTGCTCTGATTTCAAACTTATTTGCTTACACAGGACCACATCTCAACTAAAACTCACCTCACTCAATGAAATTTTATTTTTTCATGATTCAATTTGTCTTGACGTAAACCAATCAATAATTCACATTATAATTCAGATAGCCATGGCAAACTTTGTAAATATTATGGACGACAAACTGAGAGAAAGTTTCATTGAAATGCAAAATAGTTTTCGATCGAGACGCTATGACCTGGCGGCATCCAACATGAAAAGAATGGTTAGAATTAGAAATGCACACACACACACACACACAAACACACGCATTTTTTTCATATTTCAAGTATTACTCCATGGAACTTGAGAATGCGGTCCATGAATATTTAAATGTCACCCCGACACCAACCGTAGCTCCAAACGATACAACCATGCCTCAATGGCTCTACCGAAAGTCGTTGATTTTTTCCACATAAATTTTAATGAATTAACTTGATTTTCACATTTTTTAAAAATATTTTTCAAATAAACTTCGAGCCGAAACAACAATTAAAGCCAATTCCAAACACGCTCCATGAAGTATTTTGAGTGTAGATAACCAAAGTTGTTGTTTCAGCCCTGGCATTCATGTGCAATGTGTGCTATAGGAACGCCAATTCAAGAGTCGCTATCAGGTTTGAACGAATTGTAAATTTAAAACCTTTTGAAAGGTATAAAGATGTCGGGATGGTTGCAGCTAACTTCAAATCCACGCAGCGTAAGAATTTTCAATTTAAAATCAATTATACAAAAAATAATTAGTAGATTAAAAATAAAGTAAGTATTTCACTACTCCGTACATTATTCATTCTGGTATTTTATTATTTTTCACAATTTTTTCATACATGGAGACGCAAACTGCAAAATGTTTTAATGCTTTTACAGAAATTAATTCAGAATCGATTGAATTAATTAACTAAATTAGTCAATTATTAATAAACTAGAAATGAATTGATTAATTATCTAATTAATTAATGTTAATTAATAAACATTTTTTTAACCCCAGACCGTACTGTTAAATACCTACTCGATTCGTGGCTTAATGACCGTCATTTGTGCCTAGAAAGTGAAACCCTGCTACAGTGCAGGAAGTTCACCAACGTAAGAGAAAGCCATAAAACAAAAAAAAATTACATTAGTTTAAGTTTTTGTGATCAATTTCTATTTAAATCTCAAAATGTTTACGCGAAAATTAATGTCAGTCTATGGACAGATGGATCAATGTAGATGTGTAGAAGCCACCTTTTATCTATTCCACAAAATTTTATTACAATGTTCTCTAGAAGACACAATTTTTAGCAAGTGTTGAGAAAGCATTTGTTACTGTTACACGTACCCTAAAAATTCGCACATTTTTCTAAGACCAACAGACAATTTAGGTAAATGCATTAGACAAGTTGAAACATAATTGGAGAATATTCACGAGTTGACCGATAAAACATCCATTATAGACCATTTTACTTGCTCAGCGTAGGTACGTAAGACTCTTTCAAGAATTAATGAGAGTGAAATTTTTTGAACTGTTAAGATTTCGGACGAAAAGCTATTTTAAATGACAATTTTTTAAAGAATACTATGTTAAAACCAAATTCTTGTTGTTCTACTCGTTGCAGATGGCTTGCGCAGACACGAGCCGGTTTGGTTGCGCGATGTATAGCAACACCAGCAGCCGCACTGCTACTGCGACCAAAAACATAATCACCTGCTTCTACAGGCCCAGGTAATATTGTTCCAGGTTTCTTTTAAAAGAATTATTTAGTTATTTATTTATTTATTTTTTGATGTAAGAAGCTTGGTGTTGTCGGATTTTTTCGGAAATTACCAGCTTAAAAAGTGTTCAATTTTGGTAAAAATCTTTAAAGAAACAGATCTTTACAACAGCATTTGAACGATACAAAATTAAAACAGAAAACACTAGCACCATCTTGGGAGCCTAAATGTCTTTAATTTGAGAACAAATAGTTAAAATTCGCTTCAATTCGCAAAGAGATTTCCGCCTATCACGTGCAAAGTGTGGGAAGCCTGTATTCACGTGCATTTGTATACACTGTATGTTTGTACTGATGGATATGAAAAAATATAAGAATGGAATTATGAGCAGTGGAGCTGTGAGAAAAATGGAGTTGTGAAAAATGACAAACCTGCAGATGCACACCCAGCTACAACCCTTTCAAAGAAGGGTTGCAATGTACCAGCTGTCCCGAAGATGCTAAAGCCTGCGAAGGATTTTTATGCTGTGAGATTTTTTTCCAATTATCGTGTTCATTGTGCAATATCGATCTTGGTTCCATTTCTATCCGGTGCTGATCCCCATCCCATTGTAAACTAATTATAAATTAACTGCAATTTAATTGTAAACTTCAGGTATGTACACATGATGGTATTAATTGAAACACTTTTGAACTTTGAACCCAGCTGTTCCTGATGGAGTTTGCCCAACTGATTGTCGTGACCTCTTTGAGTTCAACTGCACCTCATGTAGTGAGTGTTTAAGAATGGCTTTTTTACTATAATGATATTGTTATTCTAGTAATATTAAGCTATGAATACTTTGACTATTCTTATTTTATATTAGTATTCTTTAAGTTTACATGCTATAATATTAATATACGGTAAAACTTTTTGTCGTTTTAGCATATTAGCATTTTTATAAATTTCTTCTTAAGTATATTTTAATTTCTCCTTTTTTTAATCTCAAAATTCTTTTTTTAAGTTCTAAATTCTGTTCAAATTATCAAGAAATTAAACCCGCATTTTTAAAATTTTTTCACTAAAATTAAATCAAAATCGATTTTAAATAAAATCTCGAATCTGGAACTGCAAGGTAGCATGGTATTTGGTGTATATAATATAACCAGTGGCGAAACCGGAATTTTGCTGTAAGGATCCGGAATTTTACGAATGGGAGCAGCCTGAGGAATAATTTCTTAATTTTAAAGTATTCACGGTTTTTGCTGGGGAGGGATGATTTTCTTAATTCTGAATTAGTGATCTTTTCTTGCTAATTTTCGTTTACTCTATTATTATAGTTTAAACAGAATCTTTAAAACATTCTTCTTTCGTTGTCTGGAAAAGGTTTCATTCTCACATATTTTCAGGACCCACTGCTAGATGAAACGATAAGATTTTATTGTAGATTACTACCTACCAGATTTCCAAATGTTTCATCTCCTATATAATGTATAAATGCTTTTCAGTATTTTGAAAATATTTATACGCTAATTGTTTTACCACCGTGCCAACCACTATATGATATTTCATGATTCAATATTAACGCATGTTTTCATTTTAATTTACGATCCATCGGTGATATTTTCCAGGACGAAAAAATAGAGAAGTAACAACGGCCCCCAATGGTGTTACAGATCGTGCCGGGCCTAGTACAGTCAAACCTAATCCTGACAACAATGACTCCGGTGATCCAGCGACCGACAAGAAATCAACTGCAGGCATTTACAATAAAGTGCATTTGTTTGTAGCTATGATCTTCCAGTTTGCCACCTTCATACTTTTTCTAAGTTTTTAGAAGTTTTAATTCTGGCATATAAACATTTTTAGGACGATTGGTTGGTAGAAAGTTGTAGCCTATACGTAGGTATATAATTTAAAATATATATATATATATACGTTTGACTATATACATAAATTCTTTGCTTTCATTAGTTTTTGCTGTGCTTGTTTAGTTTTTATGTAATAAAAATCAAATAGTTATTTTGAGTTGCTTGTGTTTTAAGACTGACTAAAGGAAAATAATTTTTATATGGGCCACCTAAATGTTACTGATGTTTAATTTGGTTAATGCGAGATCAGACACCGATTGTGATGGGCTTTGGGGCTACAGTGCCTCTCCTCAACAATAGATAATTTTATTAAGGTTGGTTGAATGAATTTGCGAAATATGTCTCCAGAAGATAATTTATTAGCCTAACTTTAAATTATAATATATCTCCATTAATTTGCCAAAATATACCTACCTTAAAACCGCCTGCCATCTATTGACAATTCAGTGAGCCATTCAGCCAGTTAGTCAGACCATTCGGTATAAATCAACTTATGAATCAATCAATCAACCGCTAAATCAAATCAACAGACCGAACAATTAATTAATCAATCCTTTAACCAACCAACCAACCATTCAATCATTCATTGAATTAATCAACCAACCAATCGACTAATCAATTAATCAATCAACTAATCAATGAACCAAACTGAATGAACTAAACGAATGAACCAAATGAACGAACGAATTATGAAAAATCGTAAAAATATATGAAAGTTATTGCAAAGTTGGCTGAAGCGCAAACAAACATTTAATCCTGCATAACTACAAAAAATTTCGAGATTTTATTAAGGAAAGAAAAACACAACAGTTGCTTTTATTTGATATCAATCAAAAATAGAAAATGACGGAAAGTTTAAATTTAAAAATGTCAATTTTTTAAAATTCGGATTGTAAACAAACAAATGTAACACTCATTAGTAGTCCTCGGAGGATGATTCACGTAACATGAACATTTAGTAAAAACAGCTCACAGCATATCATAATGACTAAATCAACATACCAAACAGAAATTAATTGTACATGCATGTATACAAAGTAAATCAAGAAATATCCAAAAATTATATAACCAAATTAAAAAAAAACAGTCAACATTTAATAAATAAATAGACATTATTAAAACGATTGTTCAAAAAGGTAAAATTTAAGGCGACGACAAGAATAAAATGTAGTTTGTTTTGTTGGTTGGGTGGTATGAAGCGAAAACAAACAAACACATCACAAAAAATTAGTAAAAAATCGAAAGAATAGCAGTAAGTCAGTCACCTACCTACAATTAAATTACTCCTCAGGGCCCTAGCTTACCTATAATGATTAACTCAACTCACCTACCTAAAAATTTGTATTTCTACGTTTTTGGAATTTTACATGTTTTAGGTATTTTATTTTACATAATTTAACGTTTTTATTTTATTTGAAACTTTTTAACTAATGTTAAGCCCTAGCCTACCTACGATTGTTCAACTCATCTCAATCCCTAACTTACCTATGAATTAAATTAAGGTCCGGTGAAGAGAATAGAAAGTTGAAGAGAAACATAACAACAACGACACCGAATGAATGGATGTTGTGTATGTGTGTGTTGTATTAATGTGTGTGTACATTTGCGCGTGTGTATTCTCCCAAAACTTCTTCATAAGAATCGCCATCGGAACGATCATCATGAGAGACCACCATCTGAAACGTGCTGACGCCCACCACAGCCCACCTCTGATCATTCTGTAGACAAAATTTTACTATTAGTTAATGAATGTTAGAACGAAGGAACAAGCAAATAAATGATTGTTTAAATGAATGAGTGAATGAATGAATCAATGAATGAATGAATCAATGAATGAATGAATAAGTTAATCAATCAATCAATTAATCAATCAAAAGAATGAATAAATTAATCAGTTCATGGATGAATAATTTGAAAGATTGAATAAGAAAATGAATGAATGAGAAAAATAAAAAAAAAACGAAACTAAACCTTACTTCAAAAATTGTCGTTACTGTATTCCATTGCACCGACCACCACATTCCGATCGGCACAGAAGATTTCATCCGAACTTCTGAGTGTCAGTCGAACAGCCAACGCGCTGATTCTTCCTACACCACCATCATCATACGTAAATAATCATGAGACCACCATCTGAAACGTGCTGACTCCCACCACTGCCCACCTCTTACCATTCTGTAGACAATTTTTTTTATTAGCGTAGTAGTAAATGAATGTTAGATTCTTAGAAGCAAAAACTTATAAAATTGAAATAATGACAAATAAATAATATCTGAAAATAATAAAGAGATTAAAATGAAAAAAACTTACCGTCGTCCATTCGACAAAGGCAGAATGTTGAATGCGTTCCTGTTCCTACGTTGTCCTCCAAAACCGGTGCCAGTTCTCTTCGAGATTGTTGTTGAAACACAGCCCGTGTTGATGGAGAAAGAGAAAATTCTCATCAGAAAGCTTAGCGGTGCTTGCATCTCAAATTGCTTAATAAAAATAATCCTATCTACCTATTCAATTACCTTAACTAATATATATTAAATTGTTAATGGTACGATAGTCGAAAGTCCCCCTTCATTCTCCCTCCTTGCACAGAGGTTCACCGACAGCCAGAGCACCGGATAGTAAACCATTGCCGTGCGGATAGTAGACTATTGCCGTGCGGATAGTAAACCATTTGCCGTCCGGAAGCCGTGCGGGTAGTAGACTATGGCCGTGCCGCATAGTAAATCATTACCGTGCAGATAGTAAACCATTGCCGTCCGGATAGTAAACCATTGCCGGTTCACCACTGGCCACCAAGGCTTACCTCTGACAAGAGACTTCAAAATTCAGGTCTATCGGCTATCGTACCCTCAACTTACCTATTCATTACAATTAAGCCCTAGCTTACCTAAAGTTACAAAACTCAAGAGCCCAATTCATTGGCCAATCGGCACCCACCCCACCACCTACGTAATGCCTTGGGCTCCAACTTAGTAATAATAATATAAAACTTAAACCCTAAACCTATTAATGAGTATGTTACAACGTAGCCTTAACCTACCTATTCATTACATTAGGGCCCTAGCTTACCTAAAATTACAAAACTCAAGAGCCCAATTCATTGGCCTTTCGGCACCCACCCCACCACCTACGTAATGCCTTGGGCTCCAACATAATAATAATAATGTAAAACTTATAATTAACCTACCTATTGATACACTTACAGCGTTTTATTTTACATTATAAGATTGTTCCTAGAATTACATTATTGCCCTTAACTACCTATGAAATTAAATTACTCTCAACCTTAGTAATAATAAATTAGAATGTGTAATGAAAATAAAATTACGCTCAAATACTAACATATGTGTTTATTTATGCATTTGTGTGTGTGTAATACGCTGATGCGTGTAATGTGGGTGCAAGAAAAAATAGAAGCAATAAACTTACGCGCCTACCTATTCAACTACATTAGTGTTGGATGCTTCCTATCTATCCTACCTACAATTAAAATTATGCTTATCTAACCTACCTATATAGCTACTTAATGTAATTGTGTGTGAGTGTGTGTGCGTGAGCATTCTTACTTAATGTTAAATTACAGAGAAAAAAGAATAAAACGTATCCCAGCCAGGCGTGTTTTCTTTTCCACTGAATGAACGAACATAGCTTGACATCTTCCATGATGAACTCCTCTGGAAGCTTCAACCTGAATTGAATGAATAAAATGAAAAAATCTTATTTATTTAATTAATTTAAATGAAAAAGAGAAACGAGCCGCGATGAAACCCGCCAGCCGGAAAAGCCAGCCAACTGGCAAAAAAATGAACCGCAAAGAAACCGTAAAACTAACCCCAGCCAGGAGTGAATTCTTTGCCACTAAATGAACGAACGTAGCGTGACATCACAACCATTCTGATCTTTCACGATGAACTCCTCTGGAAGCTTCAACCTAAATGAATGAATCTGAATGAACCTAAATAAATGGAAAAATCTTATTTATTTAATTAATTTAAATGAAAATAGAGAAACGCAAAGGAGCCGACCGGTCGGCATAGAAAAGAACCTCAAAAAAAGGTATCTATATAGGATTTATGCTCTATATAACTCTATATAACTCTATATAACTCTATATAACTCTATATAACTCTATATAACTCTATATAACTCTATATAACTCTATATAACTCTATATAACTCTATATAACTCTATATAACTCTATATAACTCTATATAACTCTATATAACTCTATATAACTCTATATAACTCTATATAACTCTATATAACTCTATATAACTCTATATAACTCTATATAACTCTATATAACTCTATATAACTCTATATAACTCTATATAACTCTATATAACTCTATATAACTCTATATATAACCATGCATACTACCACATTCGATTAATAAAAATTCCACTAAAACCAGGAACCACCGCGTACCTGTTGAAAGTATGATGTGAAACAAAACAAAAAAAAACACAAAACGAAAAACACCACCAAGTAGAGTAAAAGAATAGAAGTCCCTAACCTACCTATTTTACTAAATTACCTTATGCCCTAGCCTACCTATATAATAAATTAATTTTTACCTCACCTACCTATGCTTCATTAACTTAACTTAAGACTCATGAAGAAAGAGAAAAAGGAGTAAAACAGAACATAAAATACTACCACACAAACAAACATGATGTATGTATGTATGTATGAGCAACCACTAAAGAACCCACCTAAAATATAATAAAATACAAACACACAAACCACAGGCAACATATATAACTCTATATAATAAAATAAATAAAAAAAATTATAAAAAAAAAATAAGTGAGATCAGGCAGACTGCTTCAAGCCTCAAGCGAGGCAGAATGCCTGATCTGATTTTCGTGTTGTCTCAGCACCTATTTATACTCGTTTCAACCATATATTTTCATCATTTCAATCATTCACATCAGTGAAAACTTATTTAATGTATGTACTACACTA